GTGTGTGCGTGCGTGTGTGTGTGTGTGTGTGTGTGTGTGTGCGTGTGCGTGCGTGTGCGTGTGTGTGTGTGTGTGTGTGTGTGTGTATGGTGTGCACACTGGGTCTGTTTCCATCTTTCTCTCCATGTCCTTCTCATTCTCGCTCCCTTTCTGTTTCTCGCCCTCACTAACCATTACAGCGAATTCTACCCGCACCGCCTGATCACCGCGTCGTGCTCAATCCCATCGCTCATCCAACTTCCCAGCTCAGCGCGCCACACATCAATCACGTGACCAAAGCGCATCAATCACGTGACCGCGGGACATCAATCACGTGACCGCACAATCGCGTGAATAACTGCCGCATCCGCCGCGTTGCCGACAAAACAAAAACAAGAGGCAAACTTCCGGGGGGCGGGAAGAAGGGGCGGAGACCGGTATATATCAGGAGCGAATAATAATAGAATCTATTATATCTATCTATAATAAGCTATTATTATTCACTCCTGGATATGTGTATATGCATGTGTGTGTGCGCGTGCGTGCGTGTACAGACAGACACACACACATACCCACTCTCTCTCTCTCTCTCTCTCTCTCTCTCTCTCTCTCTCTTTCCATCTATCTCTTTCTCTCTCGGTCTCTCTCACTCTCTCTCTCTCTCTCTCTGTCTCTCTCGCACAGGTTTTACTCCCTCAGTATAGTCAGTACACACTGCTAATATCCCCGTGTTGCCAAATGTGCCTGTCACGTTGTAACTTAATTAGGTGCGGATTGCAAAAAATCACTTGCCGCTACGGTCGACAGGCTGCTATAGTCGCTGACCGTGCGCAATGCACCCATTAACGCTCGTTTTTTTCGCAAATGCGTTCATTTGGTCTATTTAGTTGCGGCAAGAAATTCAATAGACAGCAGAATGCTTTTAAACGTATGTATCTAGCTACGAAAGGATGACGTTCAAGAAAAGCTTTTGCCGATTTAACTTTGTCAGTCATGAAGGGTCTGTACAGGCATGTAGCTGTGTACAGGCGACGAAGCCATTGCTTTGTAGAATATATACGCTACAGCAGCTGCAGCAGCATCACCACGAATTTATATCAAAGGTTGCTCCGAATGGCAAGATACAGCTGCGCAAATATGTCGCGCTTGCACATTTCCATTATCGACGACAGATGTTAATGCATGGTTGACACGAACACGAGACACCGTGCGCGCCTATTGTCATGATGCGGTGCTGTTTGCACGCATCCCCGTACACACGTGTATCTGTCGCGTGTGCCTGCGTTCATGCGGGCGTGCGGGCGTGTGAGTGTGCCTGCATGCACTCACTTTCCCGGCGTTTGCATGCGTCGTGTGACACTGCTCGCGTGTACATGGGTGATATAAGCACGAAAGCGTGCGTGCGCACGTATGTGCACGTATGTGTTGCGTGTGCGTGCTTGCATATAAACTGTAATTATAAGAGTTGACGTGGGCGTTCCGCCAGCCTTCTCTGTATCAGCGGGACATTTTGCTGAAACCCGCAGAAACAACCACAGTTTCTCCCCACCACCTGCTTTCTCTCGCTGCTCAATATTGAGAATACCCTGCGTGACTACACGACAGGTTCGAGTGACATTCTATGTACAGCAGAATAATCGTATTTTTCCTAAAAAACATTCCCTCTGCCAGTCTGGTAGTATTTATAGTAGCACTGGCATTTCCGCGTCGTC